AGCAAACTGTTCTTCATCAACGAGTCCTTTTTATTGCTTCATCTTCCTGATGTCTCCAGAGCAAAGGGTCCGTCCCTTGGATAGTTCCCGAAACTGAAGCTCAAGAAACGAGTTAGTTATTGAAGAGTTGTGACAGTTACCAGGGCTCTTGTAAGCCCTGCTTATGAACAAGAATGTCCTTCCCGTATCAGTCATGAGTATGGAAGTGACATTACTAGGTTTGCATATTTTTAAGGTTCTGAATTGCTGTTTCCCCTGACCGCAGTTTCTAACATTCTGGTGGTCCTATGAACGAATGTGGAGATTTCTGCAATAGCTCGGGCTGCCGTCACAGATCTTTCCTGTGCCATCTTGGCGCGATGGTGAAGGATTCTTCTCTTCCTCCTCACCTGTCCAGGGCTCTCCCTAAGCCAGAAGTCTTAAACCAAGGTACAAGGAGTCCACAGACATACTTCCAGGGGTCTGCAGTTCTGTATGAGAATGTTATTAATTTTGTGTTCTTATTTTGGTAGTAATGTTCTTGAAAAGTTCATCAGAGCATATTCTGAATTCTCAGGCCCACCCTGATAACCTAGTCCTGCCATGTGAAATCAGGGGACATGTGTTCATGTATGGGCTTGGTGGCATCACATAACTCCCTTTTCATTGTTTTAGGCTAATTAGAAATGGGCAGAGACAGAAAATACATAAATGATGAGATTGTATGGAGTCAAGGTCAATGATGGCACAGGGTGCTGGGATTCACAGTAATTAGAAATGAGAAAAGGGATGGGAAAATTGAGTTCTCATGCAGCGCAGTAGAGAAGGAATGCCATACGCCAAAGAATCTGCCCCAGAGCAGTCAGTGAGCACCATAAACCTTTCACGCAGAGCTTTCGTTCCAGCAGAATAACATCATCCATCGAGTCAATGATGTTAATTTGAATGTTTACATTTGTTTTGGTCTTGCAGCTATATACCTCGCTTTATGTTTATGCATAGTTAAGTAACTTTATACTTTGAGGAGCCCTGGTGGTGCAGTGGTTAAAGCGCTCGGCTGCCAACTGAAAGGTCAGCAGTTCAAAACCACTGGCCGCTCCACAGGAGAAGGGTGTGGCCGTCTGCTTCTGTAAAGATTTACAGCCTTGGAAACCCTATGGGGGAGTTCTGCTCTGTCCTGTAGGGCCACTATGAGTCGGAATTGACGGCAGTAGGTTTGGTTTATTTTTGTTTTTGTTTTTTTGGTTTATACTTTAAATGATTTAAATTGTCCCTAAATTTTTTTTTCTTTATTGTACTTTAGATGAAGGTTTACAGAGCAAACTAGTTTCTCATTAAACAATTAGTACACATATTGTTTTGTGACAGTGGTTGACAACCCCCACGACATGTCAACACTCTCCCTTCTCAACCTTGGGTTCCCCATTACCAGCTCTCCTGTCCCCTCCTGCCTTCTCGTCCTTGCCCCTGGGCTGGTGTGCCCATTTAGTCTCATTTCATTTTATGGGCCTATCTAATCTTTGGCTGAAGGGCGAACCTAAAGTTATTTTAAAATAGAATGTTTTTAAAATAAAAACAAATTATAATATTTTTTATAAAAACTCAACACTGCTCAGAAGAATTTCTTCCCTTTAGAAAGGATGGACATGTCTCAGGTTTGAGAACATTCTCTTGACCTGTGCCCCAGAGCCTTTCCGAGGGAGATCATGTGTGTCTTATTACGACAGGTGCACCATTTGCTTTCTAAACCGCCATGAAGAAGGAAATGGAAGGGAAAGAAACCTCAAATACCGCATTTCAAAGCCCCACTATAGTTATTTCCTGCCTCTGCAATTGGATGTAAAATGACACTGTGGTATCGTTTCCATTTTGCCTAGCTTTGTGGTCTTGAATGTAGTCTTAACTGACTTGCTACCTCCCTGGGGTTCAGATAGCCAGGAAATTGTCTCCAGCTAAAAAGGACTTCAAAAAAATAGGAGACCCCCTTGTTCCTGTGCTCATCTTAGTAATTTATTGCCTTCAAAAATGTCCTTTGAGACTCAACTGGGCAAAACTGATGGGCCTTTTTTTTCCTTGCTAGCCCTTGCACTTCCTCTAGGACAGCTTTTTTTTTTTTTTTTTTTTTAATGGCATTGTCTAATAGCCTAAGAGGCCCATGAATGCTCCTCTGAAGGTGATGAATACATCTGCTAAGAAGTCAGGAAATGCAAAGGTCAGAGTCTTCCTATTCAAAATAAACATTAATTGGATTCAGTGACCTAGGGCTGGCCTGAAGCAAAATTAGAGAGCTGGTGAAATTTGTCTTTAGATTCCTGGCCGCCTTTCTTAGATTGCTTGTTCTTCTTTCATGAAAGAATGCACACATATTAACCACCCACTGCGTCCCATACCTTGTCCTGTACTAGGCTTTATCTTATTTACTGAAAATGAATGCTGAATCATACCTTGCTTGATTTTAATCAACAACCCTGGGTGGTCAGTGGTAGTATCCCCGTTTTGCAGATAAGAAAACTGAGGCTCAGAAGGTTACAGGCATTACCAAAGATCAAGCCCAGGTCTCCTGATTCCAAATCTTGCTGTCTTTCTACTTACCAATTAGAATACTTGCTCCCTTTTCTTCTGTGTGAAAATATTCTCTTAGACCATGTTATCTTCTGTCAGACATTTATACGTGAGCATCAGTTTGCTCAAAGTTATTGATTGAAGGCTTGTCCCTTATTAAAGAACTTTCTGGCATCTGTGAACAATTGGGAAGTTTCTTTGGCTACAGAGAGGCCTGCCCTACTTACATGTCAAGTTGCCCTGTGAGATTAGTAGCTAATTCATTCATTCACTCAGCAAATACTTACTGAGCATCTTCTATATGGCTAGGGGAGTCCCTAGGTGGCTAAACGGTTAAGCATTCGGCTGCTAACCCAAAGGTTGGCAGTTCAAATCCATCTAGAGGTACCTCGGAAGAAAGACCTGGTGATCTACTTCCAAAAGGTCAGCTGTTGAAAACTCCAAGGAGTACAGTTCTACTCTGACACACATGGGGTTGCCATGAGTCAGAATCGACTTGATGGCAACTAGTTTGGCTTTTTTCTTTTTTTTTTAATGTGGCCGGCACTTTTGCAGGCACTGTAGGTACAGCTGTGGAAAGACAAAGCCCCCACTTTGTGGTACTTATACTCAACAGGGAGAATACTTTAGGCCATTGTGGTATAAAAAGTATGAGATCTGGAGTCACAGGATCTGGTTTGGGTCCCAATTCTGCTTCTCACTGATGGACTTACTTTGGGCAGGTCACTTAGCCTCTTTAAGCCTCAGTTTCCTCATTGACAGAATGGGGATGCTGAGACCAACATAGCTTTACAAAGTATCTGTGAAAGATAATGAGTAAGGAAGCACTCTGCAAATGTTCTCAGTATTATTATTCATGTGCTGGTGTGCCTGACACATTCTCAGTCATAAAATGGGATTCTAACGATACCTATCCCTTGGGTTATCGAGAGCCTTGCATAAGTTAATCACCATGAAGCATTTAGACCAATATCTGGCACACAGGGAGCATTCACTCGCTCAATGTTAGATATTATTACTATCCTGATCATTTCATGCATGGGGAAATTTTAGGAAATTCTACAGCTTGCCTTCTGCATTGCTTGACATATTCATGGTGTCGCTTATGTTGGGAGAGCGGAAGAATAGCATCACTAGAGGTTTGGATTGTTGGAATGCCTACTGCCATCAGGCATGCAGCCCTGTGGCAAAATCTCAGCCAGACAAAAATAATCTGAGAAAGAACATTCTAGAAGATTTTCTGTGGGACGCAGGATAGACTGCGTGGCCACCAATTGGGCACCCTAAAAGGAGTTATCTTTCCTGCTGTACCCAACACTAAGGGTGGCTAAAACCCTGGCAATGAGCTAATCTACCTGCCTCTTTCTACAGACCACACAGGTGAGGCCTAGAAAGGGAAAAAGGGGCCAGTCGCACAGCTCTGGTCACCGGATGGCTCAGCTGGGCTGGAGGGTCCAAGATGGCCTCCCTCCCAAGTCTGGCAGTTGGTGCTGAGGTCAGCTGGTGTGCCTCTGTCCTCCTCTCATTCTCCAGTAGGTCGTTGTTAGTTGCTGTCAAGTCGGCCCTGACTCATGGAGACTCCATGTCCAATGGGATTGGACCGTTAGAATCCATTGGCTGATTTTTTCGGAAGTAGATTACCAAGCCTTTCTTTCTAGTCTGTCTGAGTCTGGAAACTGCTGAAACCTGTTCAGCGTCATTAGCAACACACAAGCCTTCACTGACAGACAGGGGGTAGCTGTGCTTGAGGTACATTGGCCAGGAATCAAACCTGGGTCTCCTTCACCGAAGGCAAGAATTATATCATTAAACCACCACTGCCTCCCTGCTTTATAATAGATCAATCAAATGCCAGACCTCATCTTACATTAGTTGAGAAGATGGGAGTACTAGGCATCGGGGTAGAGTGGAAAGTGGGCAGCTTTGGTACCAGACAGATACAAGTTTGAGTGCCCGCTTTGCCTCTTTAAACTCACTGTGTGATCTTAAGCTAGTAAATTAACCTCTCTGAGTCTCAGTTCTCTCTGTCTTTCCAGCTAGACTGTAAATACCATAAGAAGATTCCCTTGTTGTACTTTTTTATTATTGTATCCTCAGTGCCTAGCAGCATGTTACCTGGCACAGTAGTAGGTACTTGATATTGTTAAATAAATGAATGGCAGTTCAAGGTTGTTGTACTGAGAAAATAAAATATATTTATATATGTGAAGCTTCTAGTAAAATGCCTAGCATGTAGAAAGTGATTGATAAACTATAGTTTATCATTATTCCACAAAGGAAGTATGGTGAAACAAAGAACAAAAATATTTGAGGCAACTGACAGAGAATTAGAAATGGAGACTTAGGCCGTTTAGGTTATTAGTTGGCTGCCTCCCGATGGCCTGTGTTTGTGGATGTGGCCAAGTAGAAACGTTCTCCACAAGTACTAAGTTCTTCTTCCTCTTGTGTCTCCTCTGCAGCTGGAGCTCTCCAACACCGCCATTTTGCACCAGATGAGGCGGGACCAGGTCACAGACATTTGCCGAGCTAACAGCGCCATGAGCCGCAAGCGACGGGTCCTGACCCCCAACGACCTGAAGCATTTGGTGGTGGATGAGGACCACGAGCTCATCTACTGCTACGTGCCCAAGGTGGCATGCACCAACTGGAAGAGGCTCATGATGGTCCTCACGGGGCGGGGGAAGTACAGTGACCCCATGGAGATCCCAGCCAACGAGGCCCACGTCTCCGCCAACCTGAAGACCCTGAACCAGTACAGCATCCCAGAGATCAACCACCGCTTGAAAAGCTACATGAAGTTCCTGTTTGTCCGTGAGCCCTTCGAGAGGCTGGTGTCGGCCTACCGCAACAAGTTCACCCAGAAGTACAACACCTCCTTCCATAAGCGATACGGCACCAAGATCATTAAGCGCCAGCGGAAGAACGCCACCCAGGAGGCTCTTCGCAAAGGGGACGACGTCAAGTTTGAGGAGTTTGTGGCCTATCTCATCGACCCACACACCCAAAGGGAGGAGCCATTCAACGAACACTGGCAAACCGTCTACTCTCTCTGCCACCCTTGCCACATCCATTACGACCTCGTGGGCAAGTATGAGACGCTGGAAGAGGATTCTAATTATGTCCTGCAGCTGGCAGGAGTGGGCGGCTACCTGAAGTTCCCCACCTATGCAAAATCTACGAGAACTACTGATGAAATGACCACAGAATTCTTCCAGAACATCAGCTCAGAGCACCAAACGCAGCTGTACGAAGTCTACAAACTCGATTTTTTAATGTTCAATTACTCAGTGCCAAGTTACCTGAAATTGGAATAAAGGGGATGGGGAGAGGGAGAGAATCATGCCTTTTAATTTAAGATTTTTATTTGTCAAAAGAAATATATGGATATTGGGTTATTTTGTAAATTAATATTTCTTTGGGGATGATGCTGCGAGCAGCATGGTGAGAATTATTTAAAATCCTTAGTAGGGAAGGACAGCTGTCTTTACAGGGGAATTGAACGGGTGTCCTTATTTTTAGAAGTAAATACTACAACACTGTCTCAAAGGTTTCCTTGTGTTCTGGTGAATTCCATGAATTGTGCATTCCATAAATTCTAATTAATATTATTTATAGTTATTTAAACATGGTCTCTGTATAGATTTTTTTATTTCGTGGCAGCAAAATCTTAATGTCTTTGCAGAAGAGATCTATGTTTTGTACTTTGCTTGCTACAGCTCATTTGGGGGCACGAACGTTCCCCTTACTAACCTCTTACGGAGCGTTGTGTGATAATGACCATTGTGATATGTATTGATGCCACCGTTTTGGATTTTCCGATAGAAATAAATAGGTTGCTCTTGTGCTTAGAAAGAGACAGCTTTGCAAGGGATTAATTCAAAACCAATTTCAATCGACCCAAAAGTCCCTTGCACTAAAGAAATGTGATTTTTTTTTTTAAACCCAAAGAGAGCTGATGATACCATTTCTTCTTTCACCAGAATTAGCGGTCTGATAGAATATGCTTTTCCACAGAAATTTTTAACTGGCAGTGCCAGTTGTGATGAAGGTGAAGTGGCTGTTGCTTTGTATTCAGCAAATATTTATTGAGCACCTACTCTGTGCTAGGCCCAATTCTGGGCACTGGGGATACAGCATTGGACAAAACCCATAGTCTCTGCCCTCAGAAGCTTTACATGGACACAGAGCATCCAACTCAACAATTAATAAACACTTGACATGGATTTAACATGAGGTTTGGATTATCCATGAATAACCCTAGAAGGTCCATGAACCCTAAAAATTTGCTTTTTTTTTTTTTGGCACAAATTTGAAAACCACATGCTTGGAGCAGGCCACTTAATTTGGTGAGTGATCCAAGCTCATTGCCCAAGACAAGAGATGGCAAAAAATTTTCCTATCATGTGCCTGCTTCAATTCATTGGGAGTGTCTGCCTTCAAGTCCCAGAAAGGATTTGCCAGGCACAGGCATGGAAGAGCGCTGGGATTGATTAGCGATGTCTGCCTTGGGAGAAGGAAGGGGAACAGGAACATTTGCAAGTGCTTCCCGCTGTCATCTCCAGCCCAGTATCCACATCCCCATATCCACATCCCCATGTAGAAGTGTTGTTTTATATCCTTGCCACATAAAAGAGAGAAATGGTGAGGCAGTACTCATAAATGTGGGAATTTGCAATGATCTGGCATATATCCCTTATGAAGGTCAAAGATGGGCTATTTGTGCACATGTGCACATACACACCCTCCCACGTTCTCCAAAGAATAAGAGACCAACCACACTGCATCAGCAGCAAGGACAACTTTCTATGCACCTATTCCTCCTGAAGGCTGGATGCTTTCAATTTCCTGTTCCTTGCTAATTACCATCTACACACACTTCTCATTTCCAGCCACTTCCCATGACTCTCGGTTGAAGTTTGAGCCACATCCCTCTTATGGCTAGTGAATGCGTTGGTAGCAGATACTGTATATAATAACAATAATAATAATGATGATGATAATAATAGTTCTAAAAAGAAGGGTTGGGGTGGGATGGGATGTGGGTAAGTTTTGCTTATTTTTTTTGTTTTTGATGCAGTATATAGCAAAGGGGCAAGAAGAATATTCTAAACAACAAAAAATGAATAATTTATTCACAGAAACTATTAAAATTGTATTGTACAGCTCACAGCAAGCTCAGTGAGCAGCAGCTGCAACGTCTCACCAAGGAAATTATTTAATGTGAGTGAGGTGTGCATCAGAGAGAGTGTTGAAACTATTTATAAAACGTTGCTTACCTTCTTCCAGGCTCTCTCCCCTTGGTGAAGGGCACAGCGGCCATAACCTGATGGCTAGAGATTTATGTAACATGTTTTACCAAGTGGAGGGACAGACTTGTAGGATGCCCCTGGAATTGGGAGTCTGAACCCTATTTCCAGGCAAGAGATGCTGTCTTCAGATATAGAGCTTCTGTCGACCCCATAAGCTGTACAGCATTTCCTAGTGTGTGTTCGACAGAACAAAGATCCTAGGGAACATCAAAATCAGTGTGATGCAAAATAAGGATTTTGTGGTCAAATACTCTTGGGAATACAAGTTATGTCTGTTTCCTTTCTGTAGGACTTTTCAGAGCCTTGGATGTGTGCTATACATAGTGAATCCCCAAGAGCATCACTGAGTCAGTAGCGTTTCCTGAACTTACATGGCCAGGATACTCTTATTTTGCAGATCATCTCACAGAGCTAGTGTTCCTCAGAATATACTTTGCTTAGGTTGATTTAGCACATCTGAGGTGTTCACGGATAAAAACTGCCCTTCCAAAAAAACAAAACAAAACAAAACAGCACCAGAGTCTCCATCTGGTTATAGCAACAGAGGTACTTTATCAAATGAATTCTACTTTGACTTAAGTGCAATGGTTCTAATCCCGGATACTGCCATGGGCCACGAGTCCATCCCTTTCAGATGGAGTGGATGAAATTCTTGGGTGGTATGGACAGAAGGAGGGAGGGGGATGGGCATAAGGCCACAGAGTGGCCCCCCCTACTCCTCAAGCCTTAAAGGATGCTCACCAGAAACAGAGTGGTCTCAATTCTTGACGATCGTGTCTTCATTTCCACTGTTTGAAAATTGTTCACTGTGTGCTTTTTTTGGTTTTTCAGTGGACATTCCTGTAGACTTCCTGAGTTTCGCATTTCTGCATGCATCTTTGATCAGTTGTACAAGCTTGCTCTCAGTGTAGTGTGCAAACCGCCTTCTTTCATCTGTCTTCTCTCGCTAAGAAAGATTGTCCTTCAAGGGATGCTCCGTCAATATGTTTCTGAAATGAGAGACTTTTTCTCCTAGGGTTTTGTTTTGTGTTCACATTTTATTTTCTAATGGCATGAATACTTTAAAAAAAAAAATTGATTGAACTGTTTTACAGAATTTAGAAAGTATTCTGTGTCCTTGATTAAAAAAAAAAAAAAAAAACCCATTGGTGGAAATGTGCCTGGAAAACAAAAGTTTGTGTCCTTTAAAGAAAAATGAAAATGGTTTCTATTACATGCTTAGCTGGAGAAAAGTACGAGCAGGCGTCCTATCTCCAAGTCGCTTTTCAAAGTTGCTGGTACAGTCAGGGTAGTATTTGTAATGACGTTCCTGCTCACTGTATCCCTTTGGTTGGAAATTTCTTATTAGTCACAGAGTTTGAATTGCTGCAGCTTCTCCAGTCTCCCCTCTTCAGCCCTCCCCAGCTGGTCTGGGACGAAGGGCAGCCCCAGACTTCCTTCCTCCCTGTCCGCCAGGTAAGCTTCCCTACCCTGTCTGCTTAGGATCTGGATGCCACAGGAGAACTGGGGGCAGTGGAAACGTCAGTGGGACCTGTCCTCCTGGTGGCAAAGGCATGGAATTGCAAGGGTCTAATGCACGGCAGAAGCACATACTAGTAAAAAGCCCCCGGCACAAAAGCAAGTCCCCGGCACACTTAGCTGGTGAGGACCTGCACTTGTGCTGAAGTAGTGGTTGCAAAAGTCCCTGTTCTAACCTTGAACAAAGCAGAGAGAGACCCTTTTATTGTCCTTGGTGTGTGGGTGTCCAAGCACATCTCTCAGCCCAGTCCTCCCCTACACGCACTCACGCGCATGCACGCAATCTAAGCTGCCCTGTTCTGTGCGATCCAAGTGGCCAAAATCCCTTCTTTGTCCACCTCTGTGTCAGCAGGACTGACCTCGTTGCACCCCCAAGTTTGCACAACCAGCATTTCCTCCGGCCTTTCCCCATCACAACCAACCAGACTCCATTAACGAGCAACAGAACCTTCTAGAACCAGCTTGACCCTTGGCAAATTTCAGTCTGCTACTCTGTTAGGTACAGAAGGGGCTGCCCGTACTATTTTTTGATGAGCATGCTTAGTATGGCATATTGACATTTAATTTAACATCTTTGTGAAGTATGATTTTTTTTAACGTATTTGTATGCAGTAGAGGGCTTGTAGAAAACTCTCCCTGTATCTTACTGTGCTGTTAAAGAAAGCTGAATTCCACATTGCCAACAAAAGCGTGAAATGCTCATGAACTTTCCTCCAGGAAAAGCCATTCAAGCCTGATTATTTTTCTAAGTAACTTCAATTAAATTGAAGAAAAAAAGAAGCTTCTCTCTGTGTATGGTTTGTTCATGGCTCATTGACAAAAGACTGTAGGGATGGGTGAGCTGTGTTCCTTAGCATGTGGGAGGCCCTGTTCATGTGTATCAAAGGATGGAGAGGGCAAGCTAGAGATGGGGACCCCACTGGCACACTCAGCCATGGTAAAGACTTCCATGGATCCGAGCTCTTTCTGTTTATTGGTTGAATAAAAGCTTTCTTTATTCTGTTTTGTCTATAAACTATTTGTAGAGGGAATGTGATGTAAGATCCACCCTCGATCATATTGTCTCACCACTCATTGAAAATAAGGAAATGGAGGCTCTGAGGGGTTAAATACCTTAGTGGCAGAGCCAGGTTGGTGTGGCTCTTTGCAATAAATGACACGCCTCTCAGTGGCTGCCCATGGCCCTACTGCTACAAATTGCAGACCTACACTTCAAGCCCCAATTTTCCAATTCCAAATCCATTCTTTCTGACGCCCCATATAGCTTCTTTCAACTCCATTGATGGGTATTTTTAGCTTTATTGGTTAAAATAATTATATTTACCAAAGAAGAAATCGTACTCAAAGTTGTTTCTCTGTTTTATTGTATTTTAATTCTTTAAAGAATGTATTGTCTAAATATTTTCACATGAGAATATTGGATTTGAAAATCTATCCCATTTTTCAGCCATGCTGATGCGGTTTATAATATGTCCACTCGCCAGATAGTTCTCACACTGGTGGCCTGGCTCCCACCAATTCTTTTTTTTTTTTTTTTTTTT